TTAGTGAGCTTGGTGCCAAATTATTCACTTTAAGGTCACTGCAAAGGGCAAGGGGGCACTCTTTGTGTGTGGAGGAAAAGAGGTTTAGCCTTTGCATATGGAAAGGATTCTTCACAGTTAGAGCTGTGAAAATGTGGAATAGACTGCCCCAGGAGCTAGTTCTAGCTAGCTTAGTTAATTGTTTAAAAATCTGGATGTATTCCTAAATGCACAGAATATTACTGGATATTGAGTTAGTATAGGTATATGAGGCATCAGATATTGTTGATCCAGGGAATATCCGATTGCCTTATGGGATCAGGAAGGAATTTGTTTCCTCTGTTAGAGCAAATTAAACCATGCATTATAGGGTTTTTTTGCCTTCCATGTGTCTTTTTTCAACCTGACTATGCAACTATGTAACTATGTGCAACCAACAAATCTGCAGCAACTGTGTGATGCTATCCTACTATGCCATGAAAAATTAAGGCAGTTATGAAGACAAAAGCAGGTTCAACCCAGTACTAGCAAGGTGTACCTAATAAACTGGTCAGTGAGTGTACACTCAAGCAATAAGGTCAGAGCTCTGGCAAAGCCCCCACAATTCATGTTTTTCTATTGGTCAGAAATGCATTGTCTATTGCATAAGTAATGTAGCAAGTTGTTCTAGTTATAGTGTGTCAGTGGAGTGACAGGTTTCTACAGATCAATCCACCTTAAACTAATATGTCAGTTTCTGGTAGATTATACCAGCGTTCGCTCACCTCTTCATCCTGTCATGGCTCTCTGCCGTGACAGGGGAGGGGCTGGATTCCCACCTCCCCGCTCCGATCCGCCAGCGCTGACTGGCGGACCGGAGGGGGCTGGTACAGCTGGCTCTGCCTCTAGATAGGCAGAGCCAGCTGTCAGCCACGCAGCTGGGCGGATCCTGGCATAATTGTCGGGATCCGCTTCAGCTGCGGCGTCTCGGTATACCGCGAGCTATAGCTCACGGTATACTGAGCCTAGGGTGACGGGAGGACACTAGTTTGTGTCCTCCCGTTACCCTAAGGAGAACTATGGGGAAAAGCCTTAACCCCATAGTTCTCCTTTAAATCATCTAATGTTTTTATGCATCTCAGGGATTCTAGTCGTAAGATTTCTGCACTTGAGCAGACAGGTCTGCACCCCTTCTTTGGTAATAATTGGGGAGTCCACATCTCTGTTGTGATTTAAAATGTATATTGTGGATCCTGCAACAGAATGCTCTTGTAGTAACAGGAGAACTCCAAGGTATGTAGCAACAGAGGTGGGTTCTTTAGCAGGGAGATTCTACTACTGAAGATGGAGGTGACTTAGCCCATCATACCCACATATCAATGAAATATCACTTTTAAATGGACTGATCCTTTAAAACTGAATTCTAGCCATCAAAACATTTATTTAAATATAATCATCAATAGCCACAAAATATATAAATCCACAAAGGCAAAGTTTCACGCTGGATTACTGCACAGATCTGTAAGAAATACACAAAGCATACAAAGATTCAAGTAAGAATATACACACCTCTGATATTTAGGCAATTTCTGCTTATCTCAGAGTTCAGATTTGAGCATGAGTGTGCAACATTGATAACGTGTCAAACAAACAGTAACATGGGGGGCTGTTCATATGTAAAAATGTATATCAAGCAGTCAATGTTCAACTGGTAATTATCAAGTGCATGTTAGAACATGAAACCTGAAAGCTGACTCATTGCTAAGGACAGCACCTTAATCTTACTTTTTAATTCATTATTAACCAGCCCCAAAGATCTACTGATCAAATTATTACACAGCATTATCAATCCTTGTAACCAAATAGTAATCTGCCCTTTGTATAAATGAATATATATTAGAAAAAGCAATCTTGTAGGGGCTCTTTTTATTAACTTCTTTAGTCAATTAAATCAAAACAGACTCAGAAATGCTCAAAAATAATGGTTGAGTTGAACAGGCAACTATGCAAATGGGTCACCACCATGCTTGAAAGACTGGGGTTGATTTACTTGAGGGAAATAGGCTTTTAATTTTGCAAGGAAATTGTCCCTTCATTTAGTAAATGAGGTGAAACTCTGCTGACTTCCACCATCCAATCATGTGCCAGAATAATTACTTTTGTTTTAATTTTCCTTGCATGCAATTGGGTATTCTTTGCAAAGTGATTATTTACCACTTTCACTAAGCTTAGGGAAAAATCCCTTGCAAAGTGAAAATCCCCTTGCAATAATAACCTACTTGCCTTTAGTAAATCAACCCCTTTGACTCTTTCTAAATTGAGCAAACACACATGAGAGTTAAAGGGTGATAGCGTGTTAATAATTTCACTTATACTAGATTAATGTCAGCCATGGTCAATGGTACTAAGCTCAAGTGGTCTTTTCCTAGAAAATTTGGACAAAATAATTTATTGCAGGACCTCTGCAAGCTCTTGACTCCTATTATTCATAATGTTCATACTCCTAATTCAGCTGAAATATTCTTCCTGGTTCTCCTTTTTTTTGGACAAGACATCCTGCAAAACATTAGAAGAGCCAAAATATAGCATTAGTATCTAAACAGAAACCACATAGAGAAGTTATCAGATGCAATTATATCAACATTTACGACAATTTTACAATAAACTACTAAGAATGCTACTAAGGGGTCTATTCACAAAGCTGCCGAAGGATCTGGCCGTAGCTTCGGCCGATCCTTCGGCTAGCTTCGGCACCAGGACCCCTTCGGTTCAGGAGAACCGAGGGGGTGCTGTCCGGGCTATTCACAATAGCCCGTACAGCTCCCGATCACGGCCGAGCGGCTCAGTCGAGCGCTGAGCCCTGCTTCTGACAGCTGGGCGGAGCCAGCCGTGATCTTACGGCTGGCTCCGGCCACTTTTGGAGAGATCAGCGTCCCTGGTTGCTTACCAGGGACACTGATCTCCAAGCATCTGACTCTCCCTGGCGCCCCGGGAGTCTCCTGCTCCCGGCCGCCAAGGAGAAAAACCCAGCTGTGTCTTTTTTCTTTATTCTGACACGGAGAATTCTCCCATTCAAAAGCATTGGGACATTACTATTGGCTATTTCTATTCCAACAGCCAATAGTAAACCAGCATTGTACCCGCCCTCTTTTGCAGTTCCCCACCAGGTCCACCAGCAGAGGGCGGGAACAATGCTAGTTTACTATTGGCTATTGCAAATTGAAATAGCCAATAGTAAACTCTCAATGCTTTTGAATGGGATTTTTTTTATTTCTCTAATCTGACATCGCTCGTGCCAGAATGAAGAAAAAAAGACACAGCTGTGTTTCTCTCCTTGGCGGCTGGGAGCGGGGGGCTCCCGGGGCGCCAGGGAGAGTTTAAAAAATGTTTTTACTTTTTTTTTTTTACAGCAGCAGAGCCGCCGGACAATAGGAAACTATTGGGCGGAGCTAGCTGTCACTGCTAGCTCTGCACAATCGTTTTCTATTTACTTTTTTCTACTTTTTTCACTCTTTTTCTGTTCTGCTCGGTGCCTCTGAGGGACCGAGCAGAACAGCCGAGCCAAATGCCGCTTGGCGGCATTCGGCTATTCTCTCACTGCTGTTCGGGATCTTTCAGAATAGCCCGAACAGCAGTGTGAAGCCTGCCAGAGGTTCGGCTCAGCCGATCCAGATGTTGGATCGGCTGAGTCGAACTCCTTCTGCACTTCGGGTCAGCCGAACATGCTGAGCATGTTCGGCTGATCCGAAGCCACACGAAGCAAGCCGATGTACGGCTGATTTCAGCCGATATACGGCTGAAATCAGCCGTACCAGCCTGAAGTGAATAGCCGAACGGTGTTCGGCTCACTTCACTTCTGATCGGTCATTCACTCGGCTGCCCTCAGCAGCTTTGTGAATAGACCCCTAAGAGTGTTACTGGGGCACAAGATAACAGACCAATCTTGAAGTGTGAAGCACTGCTACTGTGCATCACTGTAAAGCATGCACTTAGCAATAGTCTAAGCCATAAATGATAACAAATGTCACATAAGTAAAATAGCTATATACAAATAAATCTACAGGTTCAGCGCCAAAAGGACTTACACATTTGGATGGATTTGTTGCATTTCACTCTTTTATGATCCTTTGTTTGACATTATTACACTACAGTGTTAAACTAAACTTTCTATTGATAATATTCTTAGTATTTGAGTATCTCCTAAATCAACATATGCAAGCGTCTCATTTATCTTACTACTATTTGAGTTTAAAATATTAATGTATTCTAATATTTTATTCAAAACAAATAAGGAAGCTTTTATGTGAGATTTTGCTATTTTTGCAGCTTCTACGTTGTATTTTAAAATGTCAGTTCTCATCATGTAAGTGATTTTCGCCAAAGCAATTTTTCCCAAAATTGTATTTTGGATAAGCACATCCAGATCTAAAGACATTAAATATCTTTTATAGAAGGCAGTTTTTACTTTACATCTCACATGAAAGACTCTGTCCAGCATTACCCATTGCAAAAAATCTTTAAAAAAAATATGTCTGATTTTATTTCTGTGTGTTTTGTTTGATGCAATTTTTTCTTATTTCTTGAAATGTATGGCAGGTATTGTGGTGTAAGCAGACATTCATGTTTTTTGTGTATTTTTACTTTCATAGAGAGTATCAGTGAAATTCCCTATTGTAAATGACAGGGTTATTCACAAAAAGGTGAAGAGTTTGGAGAAGGCCGGAGAAGTGAACAATTTAGGAAAACATAGCTGATCTGGAAAGGGAGCTGAATTGGAGAATTTTTCCAAATCAGCTATTTTGACCTAGATTTTTCACTTCTCCTGCCTTCTCCAAACCCTTTACCCTTTTGTGAATAACCCGGTTTGTTTATTCCATCGTGTAAAGCACAATGATATGATTTCAGACACAGCCAATCAGACATCAGCATTTAGCACTGGTGAAACAAAACAGAAAAAGAGAATTTCTGAATGTTGCATGGCATTTGTGTTTTATTTAACACTTTTCGGTTGCTTACAGAATCATGCCTTTATATTTTAACAGGTTGCCAACCATTCCAGTGTCATATTCTTTGTCATCTCAGACCTCGCGTACATTGACACCATGTACCAGTTTTCTTTGGCTTGGTATATTAACTTGTACATAAATGCTATTAAGAAAAGTGAACCCTCTCAAAAGCTTCAAGAAAGAATAACTTACCTTAATGACTATTTCACAAACAGGTATGACTATAATTATTTTTCTTGTGAGCACCACAGACCTTATTTAAAAAGGCAATAAGTAATTACCGTTAGTAATGTATTTCAGTTAAAAAATAATTTGTATTATTCTGACTTAAACTAGTTTATTTTTCAAATCACCAGTGCATTAAGAGACCTTAAAGACACAGGGCACCTCATCTAAGGTGAAAACTGCATAATCCTCCTGTATACAGCGAATATACTTTTCTCTGCCCTCCAATTCTTTCATCTCTTTCTTCTATCCTTTATAATTCTCATTTCTCTTATACCACTGTACTGTACCACTGTAATACCACTGTACTGTACTTTGTGCAATGATTATCTGCCTGTCTTTCAGTATCTGGCAGTTTCTAATAGATTTCCTGCCCAGCGGTAGAGGCCACATGGCACTCAGTGAGACTGCAATGAATGTTAGCTCTTACAATATAGTGGCATACATTAAACACAGGTATTCTTGCAGGTGGTCAGACATCCAAGATCTTGAACCCACCGCAGCAGACCCAGTGCCCAGTTAAAGCACTGCCAGTGTCCAATGAACGCAATAGTTGCGTTGTTATCGTAATTTGAAATGTCTTATTAAATAATCCTCCAAATTTCACTTTTGCAGAAAGAAAACATAACAGAAAATAGAACAAATGTTTAATCATAGATATGAAAAATAAGAAAAAGAGATATGTACACCATAAGCTCCTGGTAACCCAGCATTTCAGGCTGTTTGCAGTTTTAGTTTCCTGCTTCACTATTGCTAGGACGATGTTTACAAGGACAAGACAGTCTCTCAGTATTATCTTCCTGCTTTACGTACCAATAGCTACTGGAAAGGTTCAACAAATTTTCTTGTGTTTTCAGGCGTAAAAAAAGTCTAATGAGAGAAACTGTTCCCATGGACACTGTGTCTTCACTGCCTGTCTTTCCTGTATCTAAAGGGAAATGCTATATAAGAATGTAACAAATATTGATTCCGCTTCACTTTTAATAAAAAATGCTATATTTTTCCAGATTATTATGAAGCATATAAAAAGCAGTGTTCATTTAAAGGGGAAGTCAAGTCTGTATCATATTTTTTGTACAGTTTTTTTTTAAACGGTTCAACACCATGACTACTCCTTTACAAAATATTTTTTTTGCAATAAATGTCACTCAATGGAAATTACATGCCAAGGTTATAAAAGTGCTAAGCGATCTAAACCATTAGAATGAAGGCAGGAAGGATACTAATCAGGTTGAGGTGCTAGCCTAGACATAGACAGGTAAAATGTTAACACTGAAAGGTGAATCAGTTGCAGTAAAATAATAAATCTGTACAGTGCAAATACAAAATTATCAAAAGTTTGTGCATTTACAACAAACTGTAATCCTTTGATCTATATTTCCTTATTGTTTTTATTTTTTCAAGTTAAAATTTGATATTTTTAGGCTACAAAAGAAAAAGGGTACATTTTTTAAATACTGAAAAAAAAATTCAGTACCTATCTTAATCTGAATGATTGAGAAAGTTTTTGAAGTGTCTGTTTTGCCCAGTACACACTATACACAGAATACTTTAACGCCTAAAGTAGAAGCAAACCCAAAAAGTGAACATTTGTAACTTGTATTGAACATCTCCTAGAAAATGCAATAAAGCAAAACACTTTCCGGTATGTGAGAGTGCCTAGGCACTCCTGTGCCTTCAGCCTCATAACTGTATATCTGCAGTGTAAGATCTAAGACTTTGCTGACTCTGACTGCTAGTAAATTTGTCAAAAATATATATCTATATATATATAGATATTAAATTTCAACATACATTTCCCTTTTCAATCATTATGATATGCTGTAGACAAATTTATACATTTGCATAACACATTTTGTACCTTCTGTTTCCTCTGTCTGCTGACAAGGTTCTTGACACCAACACTAGTCCTAATTCTGAACATAGCCTGAGGCAGGAGAAGAGAGTATGATAGAAAACAGTGATATATTGATTTAAAGTTAGAGAACTGCTAGTGAACGCAAAATAGGAAATAAATCTATTTTTTGCTGCAGTGGTGGTTTAACAAAGAGAAACGGAACTTTGTGCAGACAATATATTTGTATCCATATGCTGTAAAAGCTTAATTAGTAGTATATCAAGCAAACAGTCCTTATAGCTTAGTAACATTATCCATCCTCTGCTTTCCGGAATGGTTCGAAAAGCAGCCCTACATACACTGAACACCAATTTGAATTTTGGCATGGAATGTTTTACAGATGTTTATTGTATTTAAGGATTTATCCAACGTATTAGTTCTCAGCTCCCAGAACCAGCTGCAGTACATTTGGGATTTTTAGCATAGAGCACAATCATTTTTACTTCTGATTACCCATAGCCCCAGCTTTTATTTATCATTGGCATTTATTTTGTTTCTCATACTTAAAGTAACATTAAAGTCAAAAACTTTTCCCCTCCCCCCAATGTTATTGTTAGCACTTATCTTAAATGAGGTTTCTTAATCCAAACTTCCTCTTCTTTCCTGATGTTTTCATCTGTCCCTCCAGCGGTGCGGCGGCTCTCCGATCCAGCGCTGATTCCTCTCTGCTTGCAGGCACTTCTGATCCAGCGGTGTCTGCATGCGTGTGCACACGTCCATAGACTTACCTTGCGCCTCTGCTCGTCTCCCAGCCGATAATCAGAATTGCGCATGCGCCCGCCCCAAGATGATTTGCAGTCCCCCGAGCAGTTTCGGATTCTCGGGCGGGAGCGCGCAACGAAAACAGGGTAAGTTTAAACTGCTGTTAAAGCGGTTTTAAAAAAAATAACTTTTTGCCTATATTGCCTTGCTAGCAGTAGATATAGGCAAAAAAACGGAGAGTTTAGAAACCCTTTAAAGGGTCAGTCTACCCAAAAGTGATTTTTCAGTTTGGTTGGAAGATGCTGGAGGGTTGAAACCACTTGATTTTTTTTCAGAATATCTCTAATTGATTCTACTTGTAAAATGCCTGTGCTTGAGGTCCAGGGTCTGTATACCTGCCATGAACATCATTATTGTTTTTCATTTCTGGCTTTATTACATTAGAGAAAAAGCAGTATGAGAAGTTGGAACATGTAAATTGGGTGTGAACACTCTCAGATGTACAGAAATAAAAGTGTTAATTATGACAGAGAGCTCTTATCATTGGATTTACTGTGACATAGTTACATAGTTACATAGTATTTGAGGATGAATAAGGACATAAGTCCATCAAGTCCAACCTATTGCGTGTATGCATTTATGTTTGAGCAGGTGTGTGCGTGTATATGGGTCCATGTGTGATTTTGCTCTTAAGAGTACTTGTACCCCTTCATGTTATGGTCTCCAAGGAACTCGTTCAGGAGTTTCTTGAATGATTCCACACTCTTATCTGAAATCACTTCCTGCAGCAGAGAGTTTCAGACCCTAACCGCTCTAACTGTGAAGAACCCCCTGCGCCCCGTGTGTAGAATTTAGTTTTCTACCAATTTGTGGTGGTGCCCACTGGTCTTTGTTACGGAGCTAACCTTAAACAGTTTGTTAATAATGTTGCTGTCGCCGTTGAACAGTTTATACAAGAAAATCTTGTCCCCCCTTAATCTCCTAACCTCCAAAGAGAACATATTTAATTTTAACAACTTTGTTTCATAGTTCAGGTCTTCAAACCCCTTAATGAATTTGGTTGTCCTCCGCTGGACTTTTTCCAGCTCAAGGACATCTTTTCTGAGTATCGGTGACCAAAACTGGACCGCATACTTCAGATGTGGCCGAACCAGTGATCTGTAAAGTGGCAAAATGATAGTCTTGTCCCGGCAATAAATTCCCTTTTTAATGCAAGACAGGACTCTGCTTGCTTTGTTTACACCAGTCTGGCACTGCGAGCTGTTCTTCAATCTGCGGTCTATAATGACCCCCAAATCCTTCTCCGTTTCTGACTTTCCTAGTGGCACACCCATAAGTGTATAGTCCATTTAACTCCAAAGTGCATTACTTTGCATTTATCGACATTGAACTTCATCTGCCATACAGTTGCCCATTCTCCGAGTTTATCCAGGTCTTCCTGTAATGTTACAATGTCTAAATCCGTGTCTATTACCCTCCCAATTTTTCGTATCATCAGCAAACACTGAGACACGACTACTCACTCCCTCCCCGATATCATTAATAAACAGGTTAAAAAGAAAGGGGTTTCTCAGCCCACCAGATTCTGCCTAATACTAAAATATTATTTTAGGGAAGAATGACATTTTATCCTGTATCCCCTGTAACCTTAAATTAAATTCTATAGCTTTTTTGGGACTAGGGCATAAACATTGTACAATACATGTTAAAATATACTTATGAAGTCATCCACTGTCCAAAAAGTGGACCACCCATAGTTTTTACAGATTATACAAAGTTATTGCCCCATGGAAAGGAATAGTTTATGAATGCCCTTTTGTCACAGAAAAATAATTTAACAAAAATTTTGTGCAATATAACAACATTGTTTATTACATAGAAAAATAAATCAATATACTCTGAAGAAAAAAAAAACAAAAAAAAACTACATAAACATTTCAAAAGAAAAAATATATAACGAGGGCCAGACAAAAGACCTTTTAAGCACAATTAAAACATTTAAAAAAATCACTCCTCTGGTACTCCTATTGCCCAGGGTAGAGAGTATCAAAACATAGATCTAGATGTTAATATTGGAATAATTAGCTAGCACTAATTATGTTCCATTGTTGTTCTCAATGAAGAACAGTATATAATCTCTCCTTTAGAAGAACAGTTTATAGCAGTCCCTATAAAAGTGTTTCCTTATATATTCAGCTGCAGAATTTGATGCAAATTCATATAAATTATGGACATTATGGCTGGCTCCGCCTAGTTGTTGTCAGTACCGGGGAACACGGTCTGCTTTGGAGGCCGTTCTCCCTGCTTTGGCTTGGCCAAGTTGAGGCATATACGTTCGGCTCGGCTGCCTTCGGCTGCTGTATGGGCTATTGTGAATAGCCAGCAACCCTTTAACGTACAGCAACATACAGCAACCCTTCAGTTTGAATGAAGTGAAGGGCTCCGACGGCCGATGTGAGCCAAAGGATCATCTAAAGCTATGGCTAGATCCTTCGGCAGGTAAGTGAATAGCCCTCTAGGAGGGTCTATAAAATCCAGCACCTTCTTCAGGAAGTGGGTCAGTGCTACATTGAACAAAAACAAAAAGTTTCTGACCAATAAATAATCTAAGGATGTGAAGCTCAGTGTCAATGTGTGCAGTATCATAATTTAATATTAGAAATATTTTTGTTCTACTTTTTAGCGTATATGAACATGTTTGCCGTTCCCTCTTTGAGAAGCACAAGCTGCTATTTTCTTTCCTGCTGTGTGTGGGTATACAGAGAAACAGAGGTCTGGTAAATTATGAAGAATGGCATTTTCTTCTCACTGGTAGCGTTGCACTTGAGATCCCCCGAGCTAATCCAGATCCCATGTGGTTGAAGGACAAATTTTGGGGTGAAATTCTACGACTTTCCAGTTTACCGATTTTTGGTGGATTGGATGACCATTTCTACTCAAATGTAAGTAATTGCTATAACTTTAAGTCATACTTTATATATTTAACCCCTGCTTAGCTAGAGTGTTTTGAAGTTTAGGTGCCCAGACCAAATTTATGAATATTGGTATGTGTCAGTTAACTTCACAATAAGTCTAATTTTTCTCATTTCTAACTAAAAGTGGGTGTGAAAACTAGGAACACACACACACAGTTGCACATTCTTAGTTCTTTGTTGCAAGCTTAACTATTGTTCTTAAGACAAGGGGCATTTTACATTTGGACTTATAAAGTCGTATTGCAGCGATTAAGTGGTTAAAAGCTTGCTGCTTCTTAAATTTCAAGAATGTATTAAATTGCACTATTAAAACACTACACACACAGTTGGACTGGAAAATCCACTGAATTAAGATTACATTTTACAAAAATATCCACATGCATAGGTGCCTAGATGATACTGTTTGGAAACCGTTCTAGCTCATCAAGTTTTTTCATCATTTGATGCCATAAAATTCTCATATGTCTGTGGTAAAACTGCATAATTTGAAGAATAAGAATCCTTAGATGTATCACAATCTCCTATACATATCCCATATTTGAAAACTGATCCTAAAGCAAACAGCCAATACACAGTTAAACATACTGTATATGTCAAACCTTACAAATTTGGTAATTCTGTTTAATTAATCTTGATCTATGCAACCCCTGTAAGACAGCACGTCCTTGACCTCTAGTATAGTTAGGAGGCACAACTTAAACAAGGATCCATTATCAGCCTACCAACTGGACAATAAATAGAGGTAAGAACCCTGATGTACACATCTTCTCAGTTCTTGGATGACAGCACTCTGACAAAGCAAACAGAGCCCTTGTTGGCTCAGAGCATTGCCCCCCATCCTAATGCTGCTGAGCTAAAATAAATACAGGGGGCTAAACTAAAGACAAACTTTAGGTGTTTAAATATATGTTGGGATTTTTAATAAATGTATAATTGGTTTATGTTTTTAATATCTGCCTGGAGTTAAAGTAAAATTACTATTATGTTGAGACTATTTGGTTTCACTGGTTGGAATCGTCATGTTTGATAACATACTATCACTACAATACAAACAGAAATGTTAGCATGGCTCATAACCAGCCAATAAAATGCACAAAGATACTTTGTCCAATACAGTAGTTAAATAGTTTATTGAAGCACATATAAGTAATGTGTTATAGTGACACTAAACTTTTTTTACCAAGTAATTACAGACCTGTAAGCTTAACTTGGGAAGATACTTGAAAGTTTGATGAAGGATCACATGCAGATGTTTTTGCTTGAAAATAATATCATAAGCAAATGTCAGCACAGATTCACAAAAGACAGAAGTTGTCAAACAAATCTACTTTCTTTTTATGAGGAAGTGAGTAATAAATTGGACAAAGGAATGGCTGTGGATATAGTATACTTGGACTTTCCAAAAGCATTTGACACCGTTCCCCACATGTGGCTAATGTATAAGTTAAGGTCAGTAGGTATAGAGCATTCCATCTGTAATTGGGTAGAAAACTGGCTTAAAGACTGTATTCAGAGAGTGGTGATCAATGATTCGTACTGTGAATGATCTGAGGTTGTTAGTGGCATCCCCCAAGGTTCAGTGTTGGGCCCCTTACTGTTTAACCTATTTATAAATGACACAGAATTGGGGATTAAAAGTACTATTTTTGTGTTTGCAGATGACACCAAGTTATGTAGTGGAATACAGTCCTTACAGGATGTTTCCAACTTACAAGCAGATCTGAATGCACTTTGTGATTGGGCATCTATTTGGCAAATGAGGTTTAATGCTTATAAATGTAAAGTTATGCACTTGGGGACTAAAAACATGAATGCATCATACACTCTAGGGGGAGTATGTTTGGGGGAGTCAATGATGGAGAAAGATCTGGGTGTTCTGGTAGACCATGGACTGAATAATAGCATGCAATGTCAAGCTGCAGTTTCTAAAGCAAGCAAAATACTTTCTTGTAATAAAAAGGGTCAAGACTCCAGAGATAGAGACATAATCCTGCCCCTGTACAAGGCATTAGTAAGACCTCATCTAAAATATGCAGTTCAGTTTTGGGCACCAGTTCACAAAAAGGATGTTATGGAACTGGAGAAAGTGCAGAGAAGGGCAAATAAACTGATAAGAGGCATGGAGGAGCTCAGCTATGAGGAAAGATGAGCTGAACTGAACTTGTTCTCTCTGGAGAAGAGTCAATTAAGGGGGGACATGATCACCATGTATAAATACATAAACGGCCCATTTAGTGAGCTTGGTGCCAAATTATTCACTTTAAGGTCACTGCAAAGGACAAGGAGGCACTCTCTGTGTCTGGAGGAAAAGAGGTTTAACCTTTGCACATGGAAAGGCTTCTTCACAGTTATAGCTGTGAAAATGTGAAATCGACTCCCTCAGGAGCTAGTTCTAGCTAGCTCAGTTAACTGTTTTAAATTATTCTGGATGCATTCCTAAATGCACAGAATATTACTAGATATTGAGCTATTATAAGTAAAATAAACACCAAGGTAATATCCAATTGCCTTACGGGATAAGAAAGGATTTTTTTCCCCTGTTGAAGCAAATTGAATCATGCTTTATAGGTTGTTTTGCCTTGCTCTGGATCAACTGTGGGTAACTGTGGGCATAGTGTTCTGTTTTAGGTTTTTCTTCTCTTTTTTCTCTATAGTTGAACATGATGGACTTGTGTCTTTTTAACCTGGCTAACTATGTAAGTATGTAAATAGAACTATGCACTATGTAACTATGCACATTTTTTTCTTTTTTTGAAGAAGTGTGCATTTTATAATTTTTGTGCCTACAGTACTTAATTGGCCAGGCCACTGTATTGCCTTTTTTGTTCTCTTGAGTGTGCGGAATCTTCTTATACATAATTCTTTACTCTGTGCCATTGATAGTGTACATACTGACCTGGATGTTAAATTCGTTATCCTTGTTTTCACTCTGTGGTCGCAACGCTATGTTATAGTGAATGTCTATTTGCCTCCATTTCACTCTGCTCTCTTGCATACTCTTTTAGATATGGTTTCTTCCCATTGTCCTGCCAAATTACTGTTTATAGGAGCCTCCCCCCCCCCCCCCCCCCCTCTGACCTGAGTAATTGGGATATGGCTGCTGATTTCACTGAATTGTGGAGGTGGAAAAACCCTGCAACCAGGGCCTATTCCTCTTCTCGCAATGACCTAGCATTTGCTAATAGATCCCTTTTGCCAGATGTCTGTGAGGTGGGATTCTTACCTGGGGGCATCCCTGATAATTGCTATATAGTCCTGACTTTTCTCACTTGTCAGCGGAAAGACAGGGCTCTCTGGAGGTTAGAGCTCCACAATGGATTACGTACCCTATGGCCTTGACTGTGACCCCTAAGGATGTTGAGGAGTTTTGGGAGATTAATGCCTCATCAGCGTCCTCGGATATTACCTGGGATGCTTTCAAGGCCTTTACTAGGGGACATTTCATGTCGATCCAAAAAGCCATCAGAACTGAAGAAATTGCCCGTACCACTTTGCTTTAATCTGAGGAACGTGCTTGTCTGTCCCAATATGAATCCTCTCCTACTGCCATTAATTATGACATTCTTATGTCAGCTAGACGTACCCTGTAAATAGAACTATGCACTATGTAACTATGCACATTTTTTTCTTTTTTTGAAGAAGTGTGCATTTATAATTTTTTTTAAAGGTGGACTTTGCCTTAAATGTAGGTGAAAGTTCCCTTGCAAAGCGAAAATTCACATTGCAAAGTGAACATGCTACACTTGTTCAGTAAATCAGCCACCATGACTTCTATTCATATAAAAAACATGCTCTGTTGGATTCACAATTCAGTTTCCAGAATAGTTTGGCAATAGATGGCAATTGCTTCATATTAAACTGAATGATGTGTTTGGGTGACTGTTTAATGAGGGGAGAAACATTTAGCACAGCGTTGATTTCATTTTCAAATAACTGGGTAAAAGTTCAGAGTTTGCTCATTCTTGGCAGGACCGTTCCCACTTGATTACACCTACCGAGCGTCATGTTTAGCTAGACTGTAATTTTCTGCAAGTGTTCCTGTAGTCTTGTTCTAATTTAAGCTGGAATTAACACAATATTTAACCTGAGACATATTTGTTTGTCACATAATCTCCCTTTATTGAATAAAGATCTAGTTTGTCACTATATAATTTTACCCTTTAGTAAAAGCTCTTGCTTTGCTATTTAACATTCACTACAAAACAGCATCAAACACATTTTGATTTTGCTGATAAAATCCTTAAATAATCAGTTTTGCTGAGTGTTGGAGGTAAAGAAGATAATGTACTATTACAGTTTTGTATTCAATAAAGCTTATACCCAGTGGGAAGTGAATATATTTTTGTGACTCACAGGCATTTTTTTTCTTAATTCACAGTTCGGATATTAATAATCATATTGGTGTTACAGTTATAAATCCGAAGGTTTTCCCACATATTTACAAAGCTCATTTTCATAAACTATCACATTGCTGTCATCATTGCAGCCAAAAGTATTGGTTAGAATTACACCGTACATCAGTTTTTCTTTGTTCTAAAACAAAATCTAAAAATATTGCACTTTGTAATAAGCAAATGATTGGCACCCAGAGAGACATTGCAAAATTTATAATTTATGGTGGATTCTTTTGTTTCCTTTTGTGTCTCCTTTAGTTAATCCATAGACAGACTGTGACATGATATAAATAGTTTTCTGCACTACAGCAGAGTGGCTGATTTATTCCTATGGAAGAAGGTTCTATTTGCCCTGTTGTCTATTAAGCTATGGTACCCGTTTCATGCCGAGATTAACAGGGTTATTCACAAAAGAGTGAAGAGTCTGCATAAGGCAGGAGAAGTGAACAATCTAGGACAACATAGCTGAACTGGAAAGTGAACTGAATTGGAGAATTTTTCCAAATCAGCTATTTTGGCCTAGCTTGTTCACTTCTCCTGCCTTCTCCAAACTCTTCACCCTTTTATGAATAA